TGGATGTCAAGTTTGGACAAAAGATCTCTAACCCGATCCTCCTCAACCAAGGGAGAGTCGTCCTTTCTCCAGCCTTCCTCTCTTGTCCCCAGGGTCTGGAATTGCTGAGGGCTGGCCTTAGCAGTGAAGACTGAAGCAAAGAAGGCATTCAGCAACTCTGCCTTCTCTGCATCCTTTGTTACAAGGGCACCCACCCCATTCAGCAGTGGACCCACATTTTCCCTAATCTTCAATTATTCAGTAGCAAAAGGAAGAAACCCTTGTCCTTGACATCCCTTGCCAGATTTAATTCCAGCTGGGCCTTAGCCTTCCTTGTCGCTTCCCTGCACACTCTGACAACGTCCCTATATTCCTCCCAAGTGGCCTGTCCCCTTTTCCACGCTCTATAGACTTCCTTCTTCTGTTGGAGTTTGCCAGGAGCTCCTTGCTCGTCCAGGCAGGTCTCCTGCCCACTTTGCTGGACTCCTTACTCAGAGGGATGCACTGCTCTTGCGCCTGGAGGAAATGATGCTTGAATATTAACCAGCTCTCCTGGACTCCTCTTCCTTCTATGGCCCTATCCCATGGGATTCCCCCTAAGTTGGTCCCTCAAGAGGCCAAAGTTAGCTCTCCTGAAGCCCAGGGTTGCGATCCTACTTATTGCCCTGCTCCCTCCTTGCAGGATCCTGAACTCCACCATCTCAGGGTCACTACAGCCAAGGCTGCCCCCAGCCTTCATGTCTCCAACTAGTCCTTCTTTGTTTGTTAGTGCAAGGTCTGGCAGCACACATCTCCACCACCTATGTCAATAAGTTATTATCAGTGCTCTGCAGGAACCTCCTCGACTATTTGTGCCTAGCAGTGTTCTCTTCCCAGTAGGCGTCGGGGTGGTGGAAGTCTCCCGTGAGAACCAGGGCCTGTGGTTGTGAGGCTGCTTCCAGCTGTCTGTAGAAGGCCTCATCGACTTCCTCTTCCTGACCAGGTGGCCTGCAGTAAACCCCCACAACAATGTTACCCATGTTAGCCTGCCCCTTAATCTTTACCCGTAAGCTCTCAACTCACTCTCCATCTGCCCCTAGGCAGAGCTGTATACATTCCAGTTGCTCCCTCACAAAGAGCAACTGCACCACCTTGCCTTCCTGCCCTGTCTGTCTTAAGCATGCAGCCATCCATGATAGCGTTCCAGTCATGTGAGTTCTCCCACTGTGTCTCTGTAATTGCAGTGAGATCATGGCCTTGCAACTGCACATGGATTTCTAATTCTTCCTGTTTATTCCCCATACTGTATGCATTGGGGGACAGGCATTTCAGAGGCAATGGAGCATGCAGAGTTGCCAGGATGGGTGCAAGAGGATCTTCCATAGTCATGTCCTGTGCACACTTCCCTCGCTACATGTACCCACTGGAGGCATCTTGGTTTGAACTGCATTTTTCTGACTACCCTGTCTCTAACTCCCCTTTTTATCTTTCCTAGTTTAAAACCCTCTTGACCCGGCTGGCCAACCTGTTGGCAAAGACATGTGTGCGCTCTTTTAGTGAGGTGGATCCCATCTTTCCCTGTCAGCTGTCAATCTTCAGACAGGGTCCCATGGCTGTAGAAACAAACTCTGTTGCCAGCAGTAGTGGCACAACTACTTTCAGTTTTTGTCTCATCTTAGTGAGTGAAGGCCTGTGTACTTTGGGAAAGGTCAATGAGTGATGCATGACCAAGAGTATCTTGAGGGTTTTATAGACAGCTGTTTACCCAAGACTAGCAACCTACAGGGGCAGACTTTTAGATTCAATCTTCTAAATGTAGACAAGTAGCCAGATCATTAACTGGTTACTCATATTCAGGCATAACATCTTGATCTTTTGGGTGTTGTGTTGGGCTTAAGTTTCACAGAAGACGAAAAGAATCAGGCTGAATTGGTTGGGAGAAGGGATTTGAACAGGACTATGACTACCTGGATACTGCCTGAGTGTTTGGAATACTTCTATTAAACTTCCAGAAGAGTGTACTTCTGGGAGAAGAATGCATCTTTCAAAAGCTTCATTAGCTTGCAAATACATAGTAAAATGCATGGTTAACAATTCTTTCTGCTAAAATAGGGTAGTTGCAGAAGGTTTTAGGGGAAAAAATACAAGGATTTGAAGTTCTAGTGTTAAATACTTTAGAGAAGTAGAACCTGATCAGCTTGACTGGCATGCTGAGTGGACGTGGTAGAGTTGTCACTGCAGAAAGTGAAGCATTCAAATGCTGCTACTCTACTCTTTATACATTCAAATCATCTCTGGTAACAGGAAGTTGATCATCCTGATATAAAATTTAAGCACAGTAAAGGGACTACTATAGGGAATTTGAATATTCAGTTTTTAAACTGATGAAAAGGTATTAAGCCTCATACGCTAGTTATAATCAGTACAATATAAGCATATGTAGACATCTCTAAACTGGCTCAACTTGTCAGAATTAGGGTAGCAGCAGCAAAAAAGGCTGAAAAATCCATTTAGGAAAATGGTTATGCTTGTATGGTAAGTGTGCATAGAAATATTATGACATACTGAATCTATATTTTAAAACATGTAGGTTATACCTGAATTAGTTATGAGCTCAAGTCACTGGAAGAGGCATGCCTTGTATCTTACTTTAAACTGAATGTTTCTAGTTACAACAGATGTGGGTGGAAGGGTAGGAAGAATCTTCATTAAGGAGCCTATAGAGTTTGGTTCTCTGAGCCTTTTGACCTGGAAACAATCATTAATGATAGTTTGCAGTTGACCAAGACTTAAGGAAAAAGCAAATAAAGAGGACTGCTAATAGCTTGTTTTGCTTGTTGAGTAAAACTGAAGTGTTTCAGTAAAATCAAATGTGTGCATGGCAAGATAGAGGATCAAGAGTTAAACTGCTAACATTCAAAGAGTTTTTGTTATGAAGATAGCTATCTGAACAGGCATAGAGTTTGTAATGAAAAGGTCAAGGATGCAGCACAGCAAAAGAGGCTTTTGTCCAGGTGGTTTTGACTGCTGTTGGGGGAAAAAATGCTCGTCAGCACTGTAGAAAGGATGAGAGGGAATAGTTGATTGGAGACCTGCAAATTTTTATTTGAAGGATTAAAAATGTCATGGTGAAGACTGTCTTGGGTCTCTAGCTTATGTCCCATTTCAGACAGCTTTGTTTAAACTGCATAAAATAACTTGTAAAAACTGAAATGTAAAGCACATATTGGTAAAATACATCTGGATTTTTCTCTGGCATACCAGGTAAACCCAGGATAACACTCTCTCAAAGCATCTTTCAGAACTTAGTCTTACTCCAAAAGTAGTACTTGCTATCTTGATTACCAGATGTGAAAATTTTCCTATTTTGAAGCAAGGAGAGATGACAGCTGGAATGAAGAGTGATAGATGTTTCTGTGGACATATGAGATTAAGAGGTTCTTGAGTTATGAATCAGATTCTACAGAGCTGAGAAGCCAGGAGTACAGAAAGGAACTGGGCAATAGAAGGAAACTTTTGTGCCTATGGCATGCTTCCTGCTGCTGAAGCTGTATGTGTTGAAGTTTACTTGGACAGTTT